TTTGCCGAAACTGACATCACTCTTTCAGAGGCTTTGCCATTCGTCGGTTCTGATGTCAGGTATTGCGCAACTCTCATACAACCTTGGCACTCCGGAATGCAATGCTGCTCGTCCATCCATCGAAGCACGGAGAGGAAACATGACACCCCGGCCAGCTTCCCGCAAAGGGCAATCTCTGTACGGGGATGCATTAGTCACGAATGCGAAGGTGGCGGCGCCCGGCAACACGTAGAGCACGCCGAGAAAGCGATAAACAATGACGCCAGACCTTACACCACTGTTTTCTTATTCTAGAAATTAAACTGACCCAGTTAAACGCGGCGATTTTAAGCGGTTTCATGTTGACGAGCGTAATGTTAATAAGTAAAATGCAGTGCAAGAAATACAAATAAGGTCACATTTAAACGAATGCGTCTTGGCGTCTCAGGCCGTCGACGGCGTCGCCGTCTATACTCCGGGTCTTGTCGCCGGCGGTCTTCTGGTGGGATGCGGGGCATTGGATTGAAACGTCCTTTCTTTGTCGAGCCACCCTCCCACTTCTGTCTTGCGTGGCCTGTTCAGGGAGCATGTGAGAGAGACGGTCGAGGTGTTGTAAAGCTGGAAAATCGTTGGTCAGTGATGCGTTGTCGGCGTTGGTCCCAGTTTCTTCTTGCAGCTCTTTGCTCAGATGATCGTCGGGGAACTCTGTGACTTGTTCCGGCAATTCGACGGCTGCTCCGACTGATTCACTAGGTGTGCCTGTCCCTTGAGCGTTGAACTCAAGCTCAGGGTTGGGCTCGGGGAGACCGGTGCCGGGCTTGGTGTTGCGGGATTCTCCTGCTCGTTCGTTGTTGGAGCGGGCGGTTGTTGCTGAGATTCGCTCCGTGCCGTATCGTCTGCTTCCTCTTCGTCCATCTCAAGGTCTTGTGCGTCATCCGTAAAAGGAACGCCGGTGACGGTGGCGGTATACGAACGGACGCAGTCTTCAGATGCATGCCCGACCCGGCGGCACTGTTGACATTAAGGTGCCCTGCAGTTCTTCCGAATGTGTCCTCTCCTTTTGCACCGCAAACACAGGGGTGCGTGTCCGGGAACCACAGCCGGGACACCTCCGCCGCAGACTTCGAGCTGGTGTGGCAGGCTGTCAATGGTGACGCCCTGCTTCAGTCCGAGACGCATTATCTTGAAGGACGACTGTAGCCACTGAAAGCCCTTGCACCGTCTTCCAGGTTACGCGGGTGATCTCCTGAACTTTCCCGTACTGCTCAAAAGCTCCAAAAAGGGCGTCATCCGGAACATGGAACGGCACCCAGTGCACTTTCAACCCATTAGGCGCCATTGTTCCCAGTTGGGAACAAAAACCTGCAGTTCCTAAACAGCTATATTTTCCTATATATCATTTTCAAATTTTCCTAAAAATAATTTTGAAACATGGTGAAGGGATTAATCTTTTAGCCGGTAATTTCTTTCATTGATGCTATACTTCCATTTTTGTTTGAATCGCGTTTCCTCCAGGTCGTCCGCGTCTCCTTGCTCATGTTTTCGCCGTTAACGCGCGGATGTTCCCCCAAGGTATAATTATGACTAAAACGCGGCTAGTACACAGTATGAGATGTACATGCACTCTTTTGTTTCAATACGTTTTATCGGGGAAGAAACAGTTAGCGTTTCTGTTTTAGCACTGTAATTATTGATGTTCCCAAAAAGGAACAATGGCAGAATACAGGTAGACTGGCTGTGTTGCACATGTGCTCTGTTCGCGCCGTACGCTGTGCTAAAATGATTGCTAGCCGGATTTTTATTTTACAGATGTCGCGGCGGTGATACTTGGCATGCCTATTTCTGGTGACAAACAACAAGATGTAGACTTGGTAATGTTGCCGCCACCAAAAGGAGGTGACCCGATGACCGACGAAGAAAAGATCATTGATGCATCGTAGTACAATGCCTTGCGATGTCACAGGCGAGGCTGAAGTGCATACTATACAGATCACGATGAGAACAGCTGGGCAGCGAATAAAGAAAAAGGCTGATGTACCTGACTGCCAGGTGCACCAGATATTCTCAAAACCAGTCACTCCTACTGTGCTTCATTCACTTTGCGCTTTGCGACCTGATTTGTTTCACATGAACCCGGTAAACCTATTCAAGATGTTCTTCATAGGGATGAAGTCGTAGAACTGTTAATTACCGAGACCAACAAATATGCCCGCTGCAGTCTGTTGCGTGTCAAGTGACGAATGAACGTTTATTGCCAGGAGCAAGATAGTATATACAGAACATGTGAGCAGTGAAACAGATAAAAAAGAGCAGCGGCTGATAACACGAGGGCACAATCATGACTCGCGTTACATCTTCCTTTTCCTTCTTTAAAGAGAGCTTTTTGAATTAAGCATAATTGAAACACAAAGTAGTGGTAAGCACTTTTGTTGTCCTAGCTGCTTACTACACATCTTAAAGACACCTAAATGCTTGTTAATGTTCTGGCTCCGGGTATCTTGCGGGACATTCCCTTGGTCGCTCACTACGGCGCAATTCCACCGTCTGAGTCGCGGGCAAGTTGATGGTGTGGTGTGTGATGTCGGCATCGGCACCTGGCTGGTGCTTCTCGGGTGTTCTCTCGTGCGGCGAAGTTCTCGTCCGTCTTGATCCTGGACAATGTAGGACCGAGGGGCACCCGCTGCTCCAATGACTGCTGCTGGAGCCCACGTCTTGGCCAAAGTGTCGTACATGGTAACCTGGTCGCCATCGTTTAGATTGGGAAGAGACCTGGCGGTGCGGTTGTAATCATACCTCGTTAAACCTCACCCATGAGGGCCCTCACTCACCCTCATCTTCACAGGTGAGGTGAGGGTGAGAGTTTCTGAACCAGGAACATTCATGAGTGTGAGGGTGAGTGAGGGTGAGTGAGGGTGAGTGAGGGCTGTGAGGGCGGTGAGGGCTGTGAGGGTGGTGAGGGCCGTGAGGGCGGTGAGGGCCGTGAGGGCCGTGAGGGCGGTGAGGGCCATGAGGGCGGTGAGGGCGGCGAGGGGTATGAGGGCCATGAGTGCGTGAAAGGCGTGAGGGCGGTGAGTGGCGTGAGGGCCATGAGTGCGTGAGTGGTGTGAGGGTGGTGAGTGAGTGAGGGGCGTGAGGGCCGTGAGGGCGGTGAGTGCACGAGGTGTGTGAGGGCCATGAGTGCGTGAGGGCGGTGAGTGCGTGAGGCGCCCTTCAGATCGAGCATCTTTCTCAGCGATTTTGGTGTTAATGGCGGGTTGTTCTCTAGCTTTCCCTAGATCAACACGAATTGCTGAAATCGGGTCCGGCTCGAAATAAGCAAGCAACTCGGAGCAATTCGAATACGTTTGCAGCGGCTGCATCTAATCAGGGACGCAAAATTTTCACGTGATACTTCGTGCCGGTGATGATGACACCGAAAGACTTGGTTCCGGTTTGAAATCGATCGTTTTTTTGGAAATAAACTGTTTCAGAAAGGTGCATTAGTATTCTTAACGAGATTTAAATGCATAAAACACGTTTATAACGCGTAATTGTGTCTAAATAGTGCAAGAAAAATAAAATTTTATGATGACGATGGCAAATTGCAGCAATTGGTTGCTGCGTGTGATCGCGGGCGGCCCGTGTTGCTGGTGTTGCGACGTAAAGTTTCTGGGCGAAATTGCCCCATCTGAAGCTGGCCTGGGTGGCGTGAGGGCCATGAGTGCGTGAGGGGTGTGAGGGCCGCAAGGGCGGTGAGTGTCGTGAGGGCGGTGAGTGGCGTAAGGGCGGTGAGTGGCGTGAGGGCGGTGAGTGGCGTGAGGGCCGTGAGTGGCGTGAGGTCCGTGAGTGGCGTGAGGTCCGTGAGTGGCGTGAGGTCCGTGAGTGGCGTGAGGGCCGTGAGTGGCGTGAGGGCTATCAGTGCGTGAGGGCCGTGAGGGCGGTGAGGGCGGTGAGGGCCGTGAGGGCGGTGAGTGGCGTGAGGGCGGTGAGTGGCGTGAGGGCGGTGAGTGGCGTGAGGGCCGTGAGGGCGGTGAGGGCCGTGAGGGCGGTGAGTGCCGTGAGGGCCGTGAGGGCCGTGAGGGCCGCGAGGGGCGTGAGGGGCGTGAGGGGCGTGAGGGCCGTGAGGGCGGTGAGTGCGTGAGGGCCGTGAGGTTCAGTGAGGGTGAGTGAAGGGCTGAAGGTGAGTGTGACTGTGAGGGTGAGGATGAGTGAGGGGCTGAATGTGAGTGTAGCTGTGAGGGTGAGGGTGAGTGAGGGGCTTAGGTGATTGTGGCTGTGAGGGTGAGGGTGAGTGAGGGCGACCTAAAATGCCGACCTCTGGTTGTAATACGTCCGCTGCTTCTCCCAGATGTGCCGTAGACGTTTTTGGACAACTTGCGGTCGAACGATGCTTGGCTCCAGGTGACTCGGGGGTACTGGTAGAAGGGTCCTAGTCTGTCGTCCCATCAGCCGATGCACAGGTGACTTGAGATAATCGTCCCTGGGAGTATTGCGCCACTCCAGTAATGCGGTGTAGTATTCGACACCACCATATGCATATTTTCTCAGGAGCTTCTTTGCCTCTTGCACCACGCGTTCCACCATCCCGTTTGAGCGCGGATGGTATGGACTGGACTTGACGTGCGTGGTGCCCATCTTACGGAGGTAGTCCTTGAACTGTTGGCTGTTGAATGGCGGACCATTGTCACTGTACAGAGTCTTTGGCAGGCCGTGTGCTGCCAAGATGTCTGCGCAGACCGTGATGACTCTGCTCGCAGTCGAGCGGTCGAGGGCTCTCACTTCGAAAAAGAAAGAGTAAAAGTCAACCACAACAATAAATTCTTTGTCATTGTGGTAGCACAGGTCGATTCCGATGGTCTGCCATGGCAATTTCGGGATGTCATGGCTGAGTAGTGGCAACTTCACATTCTTAGGTTTATACTTTGTGGAGACTGAAGAAAAGACAGCCGCTTCACTGGTGTCTACGCCCGTTCTACCCCGCGCTCGTCCTGAGCGCGAGCTAGTTCGATCTGCCTGACGAGGCATCTTTTATTCTTCTTCTTTTCGATCCCCACATCATCCCCCTCTTGGGGGGGGGGGGGGCAGGGAGTTTCCTAATCAGTTGGTTACATTTCGTCGTCGCTGAGTCTGATGTTCGCCAGTTCTGGTGGTAAGGGTAGTGTTCGGCGCAGGCGTTCGGGGCAGGCACGGCCAACAATAAGGAGGGCGGCCTCGATGTCGGCAGGTGTAAGGGCCCGTGATCCAGCTCGCACCAGCGCCCGCTGGTGGTCTTCTCGGTCGTGGTGAAGTGCTCCTTGATGATGTTGTTCGCATGAAATGAGTGGGACGCGGCAAAGTTCACAGATGTCGGCATATTCTTCCTCGTCGTAGGCGGCGGGTAGATCTGCAGCACAGCGCTCCGTCAGTGTCCGTCGCCGGAAGGGATGGGGAACGTCTTCTGGTGCAGTCCCTTGTGGCACTTGAGGTTGGTGTTCCCAGGCCATCCGGGACGCGAATGTGACCATTCGACCGGCCTCCATCACGCACCAGGTGGCAGCCTCGGCAGTGCGTGGCGGTTGCTGACGGCGGTTATGTCGCCTGGCGCGGCGCGAGTGGCCCCGTGGGTTGAATTGGGGGCGTAGGGGGGATCGGGAGCGGCTCCGAGAGCGTCGGAAGGAATGGGTGTTGCTGCGTCGAGGTGGCATGCCTGGATAGAAAATAACCATGAGCAACAATCTTTCGTGTGGCAAAAATTGACGGGGGACTGTGTTTCTTAGGACATCCCTAAAGGGTGACATGTCTAGAAACAAACGGCTTCAGATCACAAATGTTAACGGGTCCAGTTAACGACCCGTCTTCGACATGTCGTAACCTATACACCAAATGTGATACCCGTGAAACAACTTCCAAGGGACCTTCCCAACGAGGAGCTAGTGATGCCGCGAATCCCTTTGCTGCATTACTAAGCGGGTGCACGCGCCGGAGAACGCAGTCGCCTATTGAAAATTCTAGGGATCTCCTGCCTTGGTCATATTGGTTCCTCTGATCGAGCTGCGCTAACTCAATATTTTGTCGAGCCACTCGCACAGCGTCGGTGATTTTATCACGAAGTTGTTCAGCGAATCTCGCGTACGAGGTGTTTGGTCTTCGATTATCGTCGGAAAAGCTGTTCTCGAGGGGAAATCGCAGCTCGCGTCCGAAGTTTATTTGGGAAGGTGTGAACCCTGTCGTACGGTTCTCCGTAGTTCGAGTGGCGAAAGCCATTTTCGGGATGTAATTGTCCCAGTCTTTATGTCTCTCGGTGTATACCACTAGCATTGCTTTGAGGTTCCGGTTGACCCTCTCAGCTATGTTGGCTTGAGGGTGGTAAGGAGTGGTGCACTTGTGCTGGATGCCCAGTGTTGCGCAACAGTCCTCAAAAACCTTACTTGTGAAGTAGGATGCGTTGTCGGAAATTAATTGGGAACAGAACCCGAAGCGGGTGAAGGTGTCCCTCAATTTGTCCCAAATGGTCCTGGAACTCAGTTGGCGGAGAGGGTGAAGCTCCACCCACTTTGAGAAGTGGTCGGTGACTACCAGGAGATACCTGTTTCCTTTGGGGCTGCGTGGAAAGGGGCCCATTATGTCACATGAAACAATCTCCCATGGATAACGACTTTCCACTGACTGCATCAAACCAGGGGGTTTACCTCCCCTGGGTTTGGCTTGTTGGCAACGTAGGCAACTGCGTGTGTAGCGGAGAACATCCTGGCGCATCCTCGGCCAAGTGGCAACGCGACACAGTTTTTGGTAGGTTTTCTGACCGTCACTGTGGCCCGCTAGCGCACTGTCATGAAAATACCGGAGGAAAGTTTGCCTTAATGTACGGGGTACGACCACACGAAAAGGGGACGTTGTGGGGTCGGCTTCGTCTGCCTGCGGTATGTAGCGAAGGAGGAGTCCATCCTCGCTGTGTACATATGCGTCTACCGACCCATACGTCCTGTTTCCATCGGTTTGATGGGGCTGAGTCAAGCACCGAGATACCTTTTGGCACATGTCGTCTTTTTGCTGGGCTTCTCGTAGCTCGTCCCGGCTCACAGAAAGACCCCAGGAGACTTCAGCGTCAGCAACAGCGACGAGTTCCGCTGTGTCATCCGGTTTTCGGGGGGGTAGGGGTGCTCGTGACAGGGCATCTGCTGCGACATTGAACCTTCCCGGTTTGTATTCAATGGAAAAATCATATTTCTGTAAAGCCAGAGCCCAGCGGGCAAGGCGTCCAGCGGGGTGTTTAAGGTTTTTCAGCCATGTTAATGCTTGATGGTCAGTCTGGATGGTGAAGGTCGCTTCATCTAGGTACATGTCAAACTTTCGCAAAGCGAATATTATAGCTAGACATTCTTTTTCGGTTACCGTATAGTTACATTCGGCCGCGGTGAGAGTATGACTCGCGAATGCAACGGGCCGCAACGCTGCGTTATGTTCTTGGAGTAATACTGCACCTATACCGTAATCACTGGCATCCGTTTGGAGGACGAATGGAGCATTGAGATTAGGAAGTCTCAGAGATGCAGTATCCGCAATAGCATTTGCTAACGCTTTAAACGCTTGTTCCTGAGCGGAAGTCCAGGTCCATGGAACTTCCCGGCGTAATAGGTGGTGAAGGGGCCGGGCCAAATCAGCGCAGTTGGCAATAAACTCGCGGTAGAATCCCACCATGCCAAGGTACCGTTGTAAACTTTTTTTGTCTCGTGGCTGGGGAAATTCTATAATTGCTCTGAGCTTCTCTGCTTGCGGCTGGAGCGATCCTTGGTCGACCACGAAGCCAAGAAGCTCCACTTTGGGTGATGCAAGTTGCACTTTTGAAGGGTTAATCGTGAGACCAGCTTCACTCATGCGCTTCAGGACGACCTGTAAATGGTGAAGGTGGTCCTCGATAGTACTAGAAAACACTACTACGTCGTCCATGTAGGCCATTGCATAGTTAAACTTTGCATCACCCAAGACTGTATCCATGAGCCTCTGGAAGCTCGCAGGGGAGTTAGATAGGCCGAAGGGGAGTCGGACAAATTCGAACAGACCCCTGGGGCAAACAAATGCTGTTTTAGGGACGTCATCTGTTGCTACGGGAATTTGCAAAAATCCCCTACTACAGTCGAGGGTTGTGAATATCCGTGCAGACCCCAGTGCATATAAAACAGACGAGACTGATGGAAAGGGGTATGCATCTCGCTTCGTGACCGCGTTCAGAGGACGGTAATCTACGCAGAGGCGTGCGGTGCCATCCTTCTTGGGTGCTAACACAACCGGAAAAGCCCATGGACTTTTCGAGGGACGGACGGCTCCGGTCCGAATCATCTCATTCAGTGCTCCGTCCAGGAGTGTGCGTTTGTGAACACTTAGGGGCCGCGCGTTAAATCGGATAGGCGGAGTGTCTCCAGTATCAATTCGGTGTTCGAGGATGTTAGTCCTCCCAGGTGTTTCTGTAAACATATGTGAGAAATTCTCCAAAAGCTTCGCTATACGTGAACGGTCCGAGTCGGTGCCAGAAAATGACTTCATTGCCACGTGCAGATACCCCGAGGAGGGGAATCTCTCACATATTGTACCCTCTAGAGGACGAGCTGCCGTAGGCATTGGTCTGACTGCAAACTTGAAAGTAGCGGACTGCGAGCCATATCGATATTCTTCTGCTGACAAATCTAGGACTATTTTTTCCCTGGAGATGAAATCTCGACCGAGAAGAATAGGGCAGGCGAGACCCGGCAGATATGTGAAATGTTGTCGACATTGTCGCCCATCAAAGCTCAGCTTCAGTCGAGCTCCTTCAGTGACGGAGATAAGTTGGTCAGATGCCGTACGGAGCTCTCTCTGAGAACGCCGCATTGAGATGTTCCGGTCTTTGCACAATTTTCTAACGAAGTCTCCAAAAAGTGAAATTGCAGCTCCGGTATCCAAGAGAGCTGCGATCTGTTGACCGGCAATGTTAACCACAATGTAGGGTTCTGTTATACCTCTACTTTCGTGACGCATAGCGTCAAGGGATGGTATAAAGTACGTGACTGGACGGAACCTATAAATTCGAAGTAGCTTGTCATAGACTTTCAGCCGACTCACCCATGATACCATGGTCGCTAGGATTCCCATGATCAATGAAATGCTGAGGATTGTCACGTCTCGTAGACCCGCCCAGGTCACCGTTCGGTAGTGGGCACGGGGTTCCGGTTGGACCGCACGGGCCATACACTTGTCTACGGGTTTTCCAGAAGGCCGCGCTGGTGTGGTCGCATCAGCCATTTTTCTGGCATGTGGGTGGACGACGGGCGGCCACGCCGCTGCCACTTCCTGCGAGCAGCCGTTGTCGTCACGTCTGTTCTCCGGAGTTGTCTCGTCGGGGACCAGGACGCCACCGAGAACCGCTCCGTGGGAAGCCTCGGGGAAAGCACCGGCGCTGGTACTACCGGAGGCATCTCCGCGAGCGCCGCCGAGAGCGTCACCGCATAATCCGTGAGCGGGAGCGTCATCGGGCGCTCGAGCGGGCGCCACGCCGGGACCTGGGGCATCTCCGCGAGCGCCTGCGAGAGCGTCGCCGCGTAATCCGGGAGCGGGAGCGTCATCGGGCGCTCGAGCGGGCGCCACACCAGGTGCTGCAACATCGGGCTCATCACAGGAGGCCCCCGGCGGGGCTGCTCGTGAGGCTGGGCCGAGACTGCTGAAGAACCGAGACGGTGGGGTGACCGAGGGCCTGTAACAAGGAGAAGCCACCGACAGACAGGGCCCTGCTATCGGCGGCCTACCTCGTTTCCCGAATTGTCGTTTGAAACCCGCCGGGTGCAGTCCCGGCGAAAGTGGCCGAGACTTCCGCACCGGAAGCAGCGGAGAGTAGCTGAGGTGGCCCTTGGGTATCGCTCTCTGGATGGGGCTTGGTATTGGCGGCCATGCTCGCGGACTTGAGCACCATCGCCCAGTCCGTGGGTGTAAGGGTCCAGCGCTCGGGGTACCCTTCCGGGGAGAACTGGCCGTGACCCATGCTCGTCCATGGATTGCCTGGTCGTGCCTGTCCAAGCGCAGGACGGTTCCAGGCAAGCCTCCGGCGGTGGAGGAGGCCGATATCTTAGTTCGGCCAGGATGTCCGCCTGGATCTGGTGGGCTGCTTGGGCCAACTCGTCCAAACTCCGGAACACCCGCCCACGCAGGTAGGGATGAAACTGCGGGTGGCTTTGCCGAATAGCCCGCGACACTTTGTCTGAGTCGGACGCACTAGGGTCAGCCCTGTCATAGAGAGTTTGGAGCGCCCGAACAAACTCGACTAGGGACTCGTCGCGGTGCTGAGTGCGCGCCCTAAGCTCATCGAGCATTCGCGCGCCGTAATCGGGAGGCAGAAATTCATTTTTGAACTGCTCCGAAAAGTCTTGTAGCGTCGAGAAGGGTGATTGTCTCCGACGCCATGTCGCGGCGCTTCCCGTGAGGGCGATCGGCAGTACGCGTGATAGAAGTTCAACCTCAGACATTTCAGACACCGCCTGGTATTCACGCAATTCGTCAAGAAAATCAGCAACCGATTTTCTATCTGCGTAGCCTGAATATTTCGGAATCTCGGCATGTAAACGCAATGTCCCCGTCCGAGGTGTTGGAACTAAGGGTGGTAGCGGACGGCGTTGTTCCTGCAGGAGCCGCGACATCTCCGCCAGGAACAATGCCATTTGTTCTGGCAATGGGCCCAACGCGGTGAGAGGTGCAAGCGGCACCGGTGGGGAAAGGCTCTCAGCGGGCAATGGAACCTCCAAGTCTGCTGTGGGTATATCAGAGCCCGGTCGCAAGTCCTCCGCTCCATCACCAGTCGCGGTAGCACGAGCTGTGTTCGCTGCATTGGGGCGGCTACGGGATCGCGTAAGCGGGGGCGAAGTTGACATTTTAACGGTCACTATAACAAGCTCGGCGGTGAAGTAATCCAATGTCTGTATAGGCGCAGCGACTGCGAAGGCCTGCTAAACGTACCTGACTGTACGGGAATCTGGGTTCGGGCCCCACGCTGTGGCGCCAATGTGGAGACTGAAGAAAAGACAGCCGCTTCACTGGTGTCTACGCCCGTTCTACCCCGCGCTCGTCCTGAGCGCGCGCTAGTTCGATCTGCCTCACGAGGCATCTTTTATTCTTCTTCTTTTCGATCCCCACAACTTTTGACACTCGGCACAATTCTTTGCCATTTGCTCAATGTCGCTTCCCATATTGGGCCAAAAAATCACAGCCTTTTCTCTTGACTTCATTTTTCCGACGCCTCCATGCGTGGAGTGCAGCACAGAAAGTACTTCCCTCTGTTGCCTCGCGGGGATGACGAGCCTGTTGCTGCGAAACACGAGTCCGTCCTGGAGGTGCATTTCATCGCGGTAGTTCCAGTAGGTTCGGATCTCGGCTGGAACCTCGCTTTTGGTTTTGGGCCAAGCGTCACCTGCGTACCCCCGGAGCTTCGTCATGCTGGGGTCCCGGTTGGTTTCTTCCAGTACATCGTTCAGACGTTTGTCTGAAGCAGGCAAGCATTCGATTACGTTCACATAAAAATGTTCTGCTTCCTCTCGCAAGGGTGCTTCGTTTGGAAACCTCGACAGGGCGTCTGCTAGAAACATTCCTTTTCCTGGCTTGTGCTTGATCCTGATTGCATACTTTTGCAAATTTAGTCGCATGCGTTGCAACCGCAAGGGGCATTGACACAGCGTTTTTTTTAAATATCATTTCCAACGGCTTGTGATCAGATTCAACCATCACCTCGCACTGGCCGAAAATGTAATGGTTGAACTTTTCACACCCATGGACAATGGCGAGCATTTCCTTTTCAATTTGGGCATACTTTAGCCGAGTTTCAGTTAGCGAACGCGACGAATATGCTAGCGGATGCCCATCCTGAATGATTACAGCTCCGACGCCCGACTGGCTTGCGTCAACCGAAAGTGTAATCGGCCTGTCTTTCCGGTAATAGGACAACACTGGGGTTTTGGTCAGGACCTCGCGCAAGGCCTCGAAGCTACTTTGTTGCCGTTCATCCCACACCCAGGCAACTTCCCCTTTCAGCAGCTCCCTCAACGGCGCCGTGATTGTTGACATGTTAGGCACGGACCGAGCTACAAAGTTGAAAACGCCAAGGAATACTTGGAGTTCCTTACGGTTCTTCGGTTCCTTCACTTCCAAGATGTCTTGAAGCCTTCCTGGGTCCAGGGCCAGTCCCTCGTTAGTCACGATGTGACCAAAGTAGCGGACACTTTGCTGTAAAAAGTGGCATTTTTTCTTGTGTAATCGTAAGTTGTAGCTTCGGCACCTCTCCAGCACGAGTTTCAAATTTTCGTCATGCTCAGTTTTGGTTCGTCCCCATTCCAAAATATCGTCCATAACAACTGAGACCCCTTCTAGCCCTTGCAATACTTGGTGCATGGCTCGTTGAAATATCTCAGGAGCTGTTGAGATTCCGAATGGCATTCTTAGGAATCTATACCTCCCATACGGAGTGCTCATGGCGCAAATGTTCGAGCTTTCGTCGGCTAGTTTAATCTGCCAGTAGCCGGTAGCAGCGTCTAGCGTGGAGAAATATTTTGCACCACTCAGATATGGAGCGATATCTTCCAAGGTCGGCATTGGATAGTGTTCCCTCAACAGAACTTTGTTTAAGTCTGACGGATCTAAACATATTCTAACTTTGTCTTTCTTGACAACTACAACCATGTAGCTTGCCCATTCTGTTGGTTCAGTTACCTTTTCGATTACTTGGTTTGCTTCCATGCGGTCCAGTTCAGCTTTCACCTTCTCCTGCAGCATAACCGCAACACGTCTGGCCGGCTTCACTGAACCTTGAGCTTGAGGTGGTAGATGACGTCTTTAAGTTTCCCTAAACCTTGAAAAACATCACGGTAAAGTTCAGCCGCTTCATATAGTTGTTCTTCTACGGTAGCCACACGAAGAACGTAACCCAAACTTTCGGAGACAGCACCACTGAGCGTGGTTGTGACATCGTCTTCAACCACAAAAAAGTCTGCCTCGATTTTGTTTTCATTCCCAGATATACACAGCCGAATCTTCGCGGACGCGTTCTTTTGAAAGCCAAAAAAAGCTTTCAGCACGACGTTGCACTTTTACCACGGCTTTGAATTTATCTGTCTAACTTGTGCCGCCGAGATGACTGAGCAGGTTGCGCCGGTGTCTAGCTTGCACTTCGTTGGCGTGCCTTCTATGTCGACCGTGACTGTCCATTTACTTTCTTCCGCAATTGTGTTCAATGACAAGAATTCTAACCAGAAATCATCTGAATCTTCGGTCGTTATCTGGCGCACCTTGTAGCTCGCTTTATTCTTCGATTGCTTGTTTCCTTTGCTTTTACATACTCTGGCAAAATGGTTTGGCTTGCCGCAGTTCATGCAGTTTTTCCCTCGCGCTGGGCATCGATCATCGCGATGCTGGAAGGCACATTTCGGACAAAGTTCTTCCTTGGTCTTCACTAAGGAGCTAATTTCCTGCAGTTTTGATGACCCTTGAATCTCTTGGCACTGTTCTTTACCGTGCTCACGAGCTTTGCAAATCTCAACTGTCTTGCCGTAGGTCGGATTTTCCGAGATAAGTTTCTCTTGTAACTTTAAGTCTCGAACTCCCAGTATTATCCTGCTGCGGAGCATCCTCTCTTCAAGCTCTCCAAACTCACATCGCTTGGCTAGTACTCTTAGATCTGTTAGCCACACGCTGAAAGTCTCCCCTTCCTTCTGGTTTCGCGTTCCGAAGCGAAATTCATGATATGCTAGGTTCGATGCTGGTCGAAAAAACTCTTCAAACCTGGCTATCAGGAAACTGATGTCGTACTTCTCTTCTTCATTGTCGAAGGAAAACGTGCTGTAGGTTCTACGCGCTTCTTGGCCTATCGTCATAAGCAGTGTCGCTGCTTGAACCTCTTTGGGCAGCGATGTAAGGCGGGTCGCAGTAGCGAAGAGTTCAAACTCACTTTTCCAGATCTGCCAACTCTGCCACGCATCTTCGGACGTGTCCAAGGACTTAGGCGGAGGCAGTAGCGACGTCATAAATCCGTTCGATGCTGCGGCGTCAGATGCGTTGACGCTCGACGTGGCCATGGGCGGATCCGTTTCAGCAGCAAGCAGCGTGTTGCCAACAACAGCGAGAGCGTGCTCGACCATAGCCTCCTCTATACGGAGAAAGCCTGGCACATCGACGGTGGAGCCGTAGGGCGCGCGGCCGCACAAAAAAGGAAAGGAGGAGCGCGCGAAGCGGTGACCAATATGGTAGCGCAGAGCAGAAAGGGCAGAGATAGTCTGCGAGCGCTTGGATCATGAGCGGCCGCTCCCCGAACCACGTTTGTTTTCGTGTTTGCGTCACCGTCGTTTTCGTACTCCGGGAGAAACGGCTGCGGCGATTCGAAAGGGCGCTGGCAACAATGCACCATGCCGGTGGCGTCGGCAAAGTTGTCGGTGTGCCAGCGGAGTGCGCCGTCGTCGGACCATCGTGTCGTGCCGCGGAAGAACCAGACAGTTTTGACTAAGTAGTTTCGACGCCCAGGTGCCGAGGATACAAGTAACAGCGCTACAGGATGAAAGTTCGGCGTGTTCCAGCGAGCCCTGCGGCTAACTGCGACGGGAAACGAAGGTGCGTGCGCGCGTCGCGAAGACGAACGCTTTTAGGCAAGAGACCTCCAGCGCAAACGAAAGCGACGACCGGGACCGTTGCGGAGACGCGGACATGCGGACGCAGGGACGGCGAAGGGAAAGAGTTGACGTTGAGTTTCTCTTCTCCGCGATTCCGAAAAGAGGAAAAAAAAAAAAAAAAAAACTGTTTCTGCGTTTGGCCGCTCGCTTTTGTGTGGCGCTAGCAGACAAGCTTCCCTCCGCTCCCTGATTGCCTGCCCCTCCTCTCCTACTTTCGGCGGCCACTTTTTTTCGCGACGTGCCAGGCTTTCTCCGTATAGAGGAGGCCATGGCTCGACGGATCGCTGTCGCGACCACTTCTGACACCATGTAGTCTGTTGCGTGTCAAGTGACGAATGAACGTTTATTGCCAGGAGCAAGATAATATATACAGAACATGTGAGCAGTGAAACAGCTAAGAGCAGCGGCTGATAACACGAGGGCACAATCATGACTCGCGTTACACCTGCCAGAACTGATCACCAGCTCAATCTCACAAAAGTGGACCTCTACAAATTTGTGGGCATCCTTTTTGACCGGATACCACTCGCTACCACGAGCAGATTGGTCTAAAGCAGAAGACGTAAACGTGCCTCTTGTAGGAAAAGTCATGAGCCGATTCACGTTTCGTCAAATAAAACGATACCTCCAGGCTGCCGGTAATAAAGCACTAGACAAGTAAGACAAGATTTCTAAACTGCCCGCTGCTGAACATGGTCTACAAAAGCCTCGTGCAATTCGGCGTATTTGCTACAGAGCTCAGTATAGATGAGAAAATGGTTCCGTACTTCGGGCGTCACAGCTGCAAGATGTTCAGAGGAAAGCATATTCGCTTTGGGTATAAGCAATGGGTGCCGTCCTCATCACTGAAATACCCTTTTAACGTTTACGTCTACTACAGAAAAAATGGAGAAGCAGACATACCGGAGCCCTTGGGGGTCGTGTGGTTTTGTCAGCACCAAAATGTCTTCCTGTGCCCACTGACCACTCTGCATTCATGGACAACTTCGCTTCTCACAGTATTCTGCAAGAGC